TGGGGAGCTGGAAGATGAGAACTGACGACTTTGGAGTACAACTTTAGCACGCGGAGCAATCTGTGGAGCTGGAAGCTGAGAACTGGCGACTTGGTAGTACAACTTTAGTGCGCGCGGCTGAGTCATCTCTCGCGGCTGAGTCATCTCTCGCGGCTGCTCTGGCGCCCCTGCAGCTGAGTCATGTCTCCCGACCACCCGGCTCTCTTTAGAGGGTGACAAATTTTAGCTACTCTGCTTACTCAAAAGTGGTCAGTTCGACTACTTTCTGGAGACCTCAAAACACGTGTTTTGAGAGGACGACAAGTTTGAGCCAATTAGCCTCGTGTCTAGACAACCTATCACATCATAGTTAACGTCTAGCTCCAGTTAGCTTTAGTGGAGCTAGAGCTAGAGCTATGCTTCACTCATCACTCATCACTCATGCGTCTGACTGAGGGACACGAGGGACACGCATGGTGGAAAGAACCGGGACACTCCTATAGGTCAACTTGTTCTTATAGGAAACTTCCGCCGCCGGCTTGCCCGGGAACTGCTTGTAAAGGTCAAATGAAATTGAGTTGAAGAAAAGATAGAGAGTCCCCGTGAGTCCTTGATTTGTAGTGCCAGGTTGTGGCTGGAGGAGAACGGTTCGAGAGCTCGATTTACAGAGAACTCTGTGAGATGGCCTCCAACCTAATAGCAATGGTCTCCACCCTAGCAGCGCTGGCCTCCACCCTATTGGTTTTTGTTCAAGTTACCACCCATGGAGGATGTATTGGCTGGTGGGATGGTGGACTCTTTTGCGGAGTTTTACCCGAAAGCTCAGGGCCGATTCACATGTGCAGGACTCAGCCGAACCTACACCGAATGAAGCATAGTGATACTCATAGACACATGAGGGAGAACTCATTGAAGAAACTTATGTTTTCCGTCATTTGCTTCAGGCTGGGACCAGTACCGGAACCGAAGGCACGAGAATGAAGGCTCTCGCATTGATTACATCCTGGTGGTCGAGGCCCCAGATTTTGAAAGTTGATCAATGCTTTCTCCTCGTGTGTCGTTGTTGAAGGATGAAACCTTCTTCAAGCGGCATGCCTCTCCTGGAGCAGGTGATTCTCCAGATGGCAATTCATGCGCACACACACACACACACTTGTATCACAAAGGACCATGTCCTTTAAACATACTTTCCATAGTGCTGTTGCAATAGGTGTTGACCTCAGAAGCCATCCGGCAGTGTTCGATCCTTTCGCGTGTAAAGCAGACAAAGCTGCACGGACCCGGACCTGAGCAAGTCGCATTTTGGGTATTCCCAACAACCTCTTCCGTGGGGGAAGGGGCAGTTCTTGTTGAGCCATGTTGAGGCCCTTCACCCCACACCTAGTAGCTTCTAGCCACTAGTAGCTTCTTGTTCCTAGTAGCGATGGCCTCCAACCTACTTGCGATGGCCTCCACCTAATAGCGTCCTTGATACAAATCCCTGACCAGGGGTGTTTTCCCACTGCGCATCTTCGCTGAGCTTGCTTTGGAGGACTGGACTCACGTGGCCTGGATGCTGACTCGCCAACAGCTGCGTTGGCTGCGGCAACGCATGATCCTGATGAAACGCATTGATAGAAAAGAGAGAGAGAGAGAGAGATAGAGAGACGGAGACATTGACAGCAGTTTTTGCATTGCAAACCAACCAAGTTGTGCCTCAGTGAGAGACCACTGTGGGGAGGAAAGAAAGCAGTTTTTGCGTGCGTGCAGAAATAAGGTATGATGGTCTGTCGCAGCCCTCACCCTTTATTGGTGGTGGCGTGTTGGGACTCCGAGATGTTTGTTGACAGCATGGGTTTTGAACGCAGACAGTTCCGTGAATTTGCACAGACACTGCATTAAAACATGGACAACATGGAGTAACAAGGTTTTGTCCACCCCCATTGCTCTGGGAGTGTTTGCTGCCCACGCTGGAGCCTAGGATCTTAAGCCGGACACGCTCTCACACAAGTCAAAAGAAGTCATGAACGTCCAAGGCGACATGACAGAACCTGTATCTAAGTGACGTGGCAGGTGACTCAAAAGCCTCATGTGCCACAATGGTGACAATGTCAAAAGCCTACTTTGTGCAATTGACCGATTCCTCCCGGAGCCATGCAGCCTCGGCTTGCCCAGCCGAAAAGCAATGCGCAGGACTGTGTTTTCCACATCAGAGACTGTGTTTTCCACTGTGTCTGGGCGCTTTGGGAGGATGGTAAATTTGACCCTGAGCAGCTGGAGAAGGCTGGAGAAGTCTTGAGAAGTCTTAGAGCGCCATGAGGAAGAATATTGACGGCACGAGCCTTTTTCGGCGTCCACAAGTTGACAAGCCCAGCCAGAATCGAGCCTGAAATGGTCAAAGTAACAACAGTCTTTCACTAGCGAAAAAGACTCAGAATAGGATTGTGCACTTCCTTACAGTAGTCTGGCACCCTTTCACCAAAGCGGTTTCAGAGCGGACTTTGGTTTTGTCAGAGTCCAGAGTTGTTTAGAATGGCTTCCTTTCAGACTCGTTTCCGGACAACGACCGTAAGTATAGCAATAGGAGGAACGTACCGGTCACGGACAATTAAATACAAACCCCCACAATCACTCCGCCTGTCTCGGGTTAGAACTCCAAGAGTACTGGAAATTACTCGTACCCCCAAGCCTGCATGCTGCCAGTCGTTTGTCCTGCCCCTACAGGTGATTCACACAGACAAACACTTCATGCCCCCCAGTTGAAAGACAGACATGATGGAAAAATGCACGGTCAGGTGTCAATCTCCTGGCCCACCAAACAAGTCCGTTTGTTTTCGCACCGTCTTGAAGCCAGACCACGGACCATGCTTGATAGATCCCAAGCAATTTGACCCAGTCTTGTCAGGGCGCAGCTGCCCTAAAAGAGATTGACACGTCCAGGACCGCCTTGCAAGACTTTGGTCGTTCATGCAAGACGGATGCTCTATTCAAGACTCCTCTAACATTATTTGGCACACTGAATGCGCCTGATGCATTCTCCTGCGACAAAGGAATGCAAAGTTGGCTTTCGAACTTGCAAGTATGCAGGACGGGATTACCATCTTAAGAGGGAGACTGAGACATGTTTTTTTGGCTAGACAAGTCTGGTGACAAAGCTGAAGTGATTTTGGCAGTTTACAGAGAAAGTAGACATTCTGACATTCCAATTGTATAGCCCAGGTTGCTCAGACTTGTCACACTGCAGGAGAAAACACAGCAGATGATTGCGCTCAGAGATATTGAGAAGCAAAAGACTGGACGCTCTCAAATGGAGGAGTGCCTTGAGCTCCCTTAGGTTTGCCCAACTTCTCTTAGCTTCTCTATGCAAAGAGATGTGAATTAACATGTGTGTATGTTTGAAGGCTCATGTGTAATGGATCATCTTGAGAACGCACTTCAACACGCTGGTGTGTGACCGTGTCGATGCAAAGCTGCAGGAACAGATGCTAGCTGTTCAAGCTGAAGAGTCTAGAAAGACAATCTCCCACCTGGCAGAACAAGAACGGCTTACTGCGCAGCACAAAGCCGAAGTGGAGAACAGTCTACAAGGCGATTGCAGTAGAGTCCAAGTAGAACATGTCAGATTCTGTTTCCAAGCCAATTTGGCGAATTGGGGCCCTTTGGCCCTTGGTTGGTTTAGAGTGAAAAGGGCCGACAACCTTCTCCAAGAGGTCCCTGTAGAAAACTTGTCCAGGCCGGAAATTGGAACTGCAAAAGGAGTCTTGACTTTGACAGAGAATGATTAAAAGGAAGGTAAGGCCTTTTTAAGGGGGGCATTACCTTCCCCATTTCATTGATTTTCATATTATTTTATCTAGATTTGGCTTTGACAGGGAGTCTTGCAGTGACTGACAGAGAGTTTTCAGCCACTTGCGCAACTTGAGGATATCACAGACTATCAGCTCAAAAGAGAGCAGCAGCAATTTCTGGAGCACGAGGACAGCGGCACAGCTACACTTGATACTGGAACAGTGCACAAGTAAACGTGCGCTGGGACTTTTTGGAAATTCAGCGTAACATTCATCGACAGGCAATCCGAATCCGCAATGAGAAGCAGTTCGAAGAAGCCGTGCGAGAAACCATTCGAGCTAAAGGTGCTCAAGATATCGAGACAGCGAAGGCCGGTCAACCCTTGTTTTGTTTTTTTGAATGACCACGTAGAAGTGTTGCCGGGTTACATGTTTATCAACGCACAACAAACTTTGGGAGACCGAAGGACCAAACGTGAGACTTGTAAGCCCCAAAAAAGTTTGGGTTCATTGGGTTATGACATCCGTTTAAGGTATTTTTGGATATTTTTGGTTTCCTTGTGCATCCAAAAGCAATTTCTTTGCACCGGCAAACTCTACACCATCTTTCTGAGGCTGCCGCCCAAGCAGAGGCAGCTGGACGTGCACAGCAGGAGTTCTAGCAACAGCCGCAAACCATCTCAACCCCCACAACTTTGATTGATCCTTTTCGTTGTACTCATCTTTTTTTGGGGGCTTTGCCTCCAGAGTCTCTACTAGATAGAATTGTGAAGGAGAAAACAAGAGCTAAAAGAAAAAGATGCAGAAACAAGAGCTATTCTTCAGCGGACAAGGAACAAGAAGCTACTAGTAACAAAGGGCATCGCTACTAGGAGCGAGGACATTACTAGTAGCTCCTGCCCTTACTACTAGGAACCAGAAGCTACTAGGGGCTCCTCGCCTTACTACTAGGAGCAA